GAAGGTGCCAAAAAATAATCTTGGCTTATTCTCTGTGTATATCGGTTTAGGAGCAGATAATGTGAGTCATTTTTCAACCCAAACAATAGGTTGTTTCAAAGTTTTTTTTAACCATGTTATAGAGAAGAAAAAGTTATTAAAACGGAGACTATACATACAGTGAAACATTAATCTGACCATGTGCCTGTTCATAGCCAGCCTTTTTGACATGTATCTGCGCTCGAAAAGAACACTGAATACCCTGCCAACAGTGAAAACGTAAAAAAACGTGCGTCCATGTGTGAAAATACTGCATGGAAACGAGTGTGGTTCTTGGCACAACATACTTTTGCTCGCGTCAGAGACTGTGATGTCATTCAAGATGAGAATTAGTTCAGTTTGTTCGGCAAGTCATTCAACATTAATAAGATGCAGATGAATGCTTTGCGTATGATATATACAGGATGAATCATTAATATCTTTACGATAAAAAATTTCAATATCTCTGCCATACATAAATCAAATGGGCTGATATTTTTTACTGATGATAGAGGATAGTTCAAAGTTTTTGTCCATACAAAAAAGGGTTAACAAATACTGCTTTGAAATATCACCTGTGGCTTCAATGAAGATTTTCAGCCTTTTATAGAATCTCAAAAGCATAAAAGGCGTACACCATGCCTTACATAAGTAAACTGTTTTAATTTTATCTAAAACGAATTATACTACTCATATTCCTATATAATTGGGACTAAACTACGTCATGACCTTCATCTTCGTCGCTGCCACTCTTTTCACATTGCGTTTGCTGTTATCATTCATCATGTTGTATTCAAAATGCCTATGGATTTTAGCAACTGTAGCTTCTAAAACGGTTTATTAGAGTATATGAGACTCATCAACCCTAATTTTTCGTTAATTTTTTCATGGTGTACATACCGTGTGACTATATTCTTTTTTTCGAAAAGTGACTCGCTTTTCAAATTCCTAATTTGAATACACAAATGTTCTCATGAATTTAAAATTTCTAGATCTATTGCAACACTTGATTTCTTTCAAGCAATTTACAAGAAAAACGTGTTGTGTTGTTAGCAATGTCAAAGTCTTATATAACTATAGATAAGATTCAAGGTCTTTGTGCAACATTGACTAAGCTCTTTAAAGATGTCTTGAGTGTTCATCAACAAGATGATAAAGATAACAGTTGACATTTTTATTGCTTGAAACGAATAAAAAAGTAATACAATTGCTTGACAACCTCTTCTTGCATTTTTTTATGGTATAGACAAAAAAAGATAAGCAAGAAAGTGATAGTACTACTTAAACGTCACGAAACAATTTTTTAACAGGTTGGTGAAAAGACTAATTATTCGAAAAAAAGCAATCAATCCCACCGAATGCATTTATCATTACTCTACGATGACTTGAAATCAGGCATGTAGTCAGAGGTAAGGCTGAGCATGATTTCTCGCAAATCAGATTTAACAAATTGTAGACCTGAATCTAATAAAATTCTCTGGCTTGGTCCAGGATTTAGACCACAAAGATTAGACGGTTTCCAGACTACTAACATATCCTACACATTGTTAATAAGATAGGAACGGAAAAATCATTAGGAGTAGTCGTTTACAGATCATCAGATACAATATTTTTGAACTCGCATCCGACGGGCTGTAGCATGATCATTTATTGTTCGGCAGCAAAAAATAACGTTCCCTATATCTATGCGTGAAATGATACATCCGGATGGAGGCGCAGCTTTAAAAATATAGTTCTTTTTATATTATTTGATTTAACTTTGTTTTCGTTATTGTCACCTAGAGCACATCAACTTTATTGTTGCAGTTGTGTTCACTCAGATTGAACGTAATTGAAAGTGAACGGTATCGTATAAAATCACATGGCTGAATGCAACTTATCGGCAACGAAATTAGATGAAATACAAAATCATGATGATTTTATAGTTGTTTGGTTCGGTTTAGATTCAACAGAACTAGAAAATTTTGTCGACTATTTCAAGAAATACGATATATTTGAAGTTGCTACCAATTATATAACAAAGATTCAAAGTGAACGTAAAATATTTCTTGTTTTAGCCAAGTTCTTTGCAGATGTGTCATATTTTAATGATTGTCATCAAATTCAAGCAATCTATATTTTAAAGAAATATTCTCCAAATGTCAACTATGAACATTCAAAATTGGTTGGCACTTCCACTGATGATTCTACATTCAATAATGTACTACGTTGATATACAAGTGATTCCTTCGTATATTGACTTCTAAATCGAGTATTTCGTACATGAAACATTGATTTAATTTGTAAATTTCAATATTTTATTATTCTCCTATACAATCAATTAAAAAATCTATCCGAAGAGCAACCAATAGAGAATCCAATAATTGTTTTTCGAGGATAATAAATGAAAATAAATGATCTGGAAAAGTTGAAAGCAAATGTTGGACATCTTATTGTAATAAATACAATTCTATCAACATCATGTAATAAAAATACTGTTCGTACATTTATCTCGGTAACTCCGCTTGGAGTAGTATTCGAAATTAACACGGAAAATACGATCAATAATATACTCACACCATTTGCTGATATATCTGAATTGAGTACAGTTCTGAATGAATAAGAAGTCTTGTTTTTTTTTGTCGGTACAGTTTTTCATGTTGATTCTGTTGAACAGGAAAATGATTCGACGTGATATATTAAATTGACTTTAAATAATGAAACAGATGAACAATTAAAACAAATGACTGATAATATTGAAAAGCAATTGGCAGATGCAACACAAAGTCCTTATTTATTTATGAAAGAAGATGATTTAGCTATGACCAAACGATATTATAAAATGTTAAAGAGAGAAGCATTGCAATTACAAGATATACCTGCAAGTACGATAAGTCAACTTTGTGGCTATTCATATAGCAATTTAGGTATTTATGAGAAAGCGATTGAATTCTACAATAAACTGTTGTTGGATAAGAACTTTACTGACAGGCCAAAATTTATTATTATTAATATTATGATTGGTTACCATTATTTTCATCTTTTACAATATGATAATGCGTTTCTTTACTGTGGTATTGCATTATAATTATTAGATGATCACGATTTATTAACAAGCAAAATTTACAAAAAAATTCGTGATATCTGGTCGAGAATGGAGGGTGTGGGTGTGGGTGTGAGTATGGGCGTAGAGCGAAAGAAAAGCCACACCCACACCCACACCCACACCTACACCTACACCCACATCCACACCCACACCCCACCAACACCCACACCCACATCCACACCCTCAAGTTGGCAGCCCTGCTATTATATCAAGTATTATTGTGTTCCTATATGCTAGAACTTCAATTCACCTTTCATTGTTGCACAGGTAACTTAAAAACAGCATAATTTTCTATATTACGCTTGAAATTATTCTAGGAAGGATTGGGTTTTTTATAAATAACCGAGCATAATGCTCTATCAATTCTTAAGCTAATCAAATTGTATAAATCAATAAAAAATTATCCGTATCTTCGAAAATTCGGGAGACTTCCATCTTTAATATCTGTTCATCTAAACACGACGTAATACGCACCTTACAAATCAAACAGTTGAAATACAGCAGTGTGAAAATAGTTTTTCTCCTTACCTATTCACTATTTTCGCAAAAGGAAAACTTCTCTTTTTTTTCTTTTATTGAGACATGACTTAAGAGACAATTTTATCCAAGTATTAAAGAAATCAATAACGAAATAATTGATAATATTTGTAGAAAAAACTATCTGATTAGAAATTGTCAATAACTAAATGTGGTTGTTATCAGATTTATTTGTTAATTAAAACCACATTGCAAGTCCACAACTATCATCTTCAATTGAATAATAAGGTGGTTTGTCAAAAGACAACTGAAGTATATCATGACATAACTGTTTAATAAATTTTCTATGATCTTTAAATATAGTTTCGTATTCACTACCATCGGATGTGTCAAATTTATATCGAAAGTAAAAGCCAAAATCGCTGAACAATGGTGATACGTTTGCGATTATTTCACAATTTCTATTATCGACG